TTTTGATACACAATGTCATTTAATTGAGAAGTTAGTTTTAAATAAAAGTTTAACAGAGTATTATATTAATACATGAAACAATGCTTCATATCTTGTTGCTCTTTAATTTTTTGCACATTTAAAAACTTTTTATTTTTATTTTTCTACTTTAAGAATATTTGTGGTCTGATTTATTTATTTTTAATATTATAAATATAAAATATAGCTAATAGTACAGAAAGAAACATTAACCTTTACATTTTCCGAATAAATTAACTTCCCCGCTATGAAATCTGTCAAATATTGTATCTCAGTTTTAAGTGGCGCCGCTCTGGTAGCAGAAAAAGTAGTGGATGCCCTCATTATCTGCGATTAAGAATCTAAAAGCACTTGTGTTGCCATTGTTGAGGATTGAAATTGAATGCCCCGTTACCAGTAATAATTAAACTGACTCTCTAAACTTTTCAGCACAGAAGACAGCAGAGCATGCTTGGTAACAGAATTAGGTAAAGAAACAGAATATATAATAGTTAGGGTGCAAGGTTAGTCTACACAGAGAGACTTCTAGAATGAAATGTCCTATCAGTTCATATTAAATGTCATTGTTATCACTGGTTCCAAGTGCAATCCACACATACACATACATATCACATTATTTATTATATACATACATAAGATAGATAGATTCTTTATTGTACACCAAATCTACACATAAACTAAAGAAAAAAAGAAAAAAAATAGTGGCACAATGGGCGGTCTTATCGCTAAAAGCGATTTCTTCCAGACAACCTTTGGATGGACACGATTACAAAAAAGCAGAAAATTGTGTGGTTTGGTGATGCAGAAACAATATTTATAAAGATATTATTCATATAATATATAGAAATAAATAACAAATAAAGAAATAAAAATACGAATGTGTATGTATAGATGACACGAATTCAAAGGTTAAGATAGTGATTGTGTACAAGTTTCTGAAAAACAGATAAAGATGGGCGCGTCTAACTGACAGAGGTAGGGCACTCTATAGATGGACTGCTTGGATAGTAAACGACCTGTCCAAAAATTTGGTATTATGGGCAGGCATTAGTAATGTAAAATTTTGTGATGATCTCAAAACTTTCGAATGGGAATAGTGAAGGAATTCAAAACGATCCTTAAGATAAGAAGGATAGGAAGGTAGAGCTTATTACGGAAACAAGAACAAAATTTTGAAGACACTCAAGTTTATCAAGTTGCTTTTCGGTCAAGATAGCTGATATCTGCATAGTCCAGAATTGGGTGGAGCAGAGATTGTGCATGCACAATTTTAATGGCAGTAGGTAGAAAGTTCCTTAATCTGTTCAACGATCGAGCAGCTGCAAAGAGTTTACGACTAATAAACGTGGTACACATTTACCACTTAAATGAACAATATAACTCTTCCAAATTGGAAACGATATTTACATAATTATTTCTTCTGTGGCAGCAACGCGCCGGGGACCAGCTAGTTTAATATAGAATACTACACATTAGAATGAAACCAAACTGACGGATCTTATTCCATTTAATTTGACATTCTCGGGAACTTTCCCGAAATGTCGGGAATTAATAAGTTAAATTAAACGCGGTAAATCCCATAAAATTTGTTTTTAGCCGACTTAAAAAATATTCCCAATTCGAGTGTAATTTTTCTTGTATGTATGCTAAGCGATATCTTTGCCAATTGTTAACGGATTTTAGTGACTCTTATTTTATATTAAATAGGCTAGAATTCAGGGTAGTTTAATATAAAAAACATCAAACAAATCAATCAAACATTCCATCCCTCAGGGTGGCAAAATAGGGGATAAAGTTTTTAATGTAACTTTATGACGACATTGAGATTGAGATATTTTTCGTAATTAGTTCTAATTTTAATTACCTATGTACATACAAAATCAAATATTTCAAACCTATATAAATCTAATAGCAGACGCTTCGAAGATATAAAGACACCTTGTTATATTTTTTGCTTTTGACACCATTCCAAGTCTCAAACATCGCAATGCTATTTTGAAACTGAGTTTTACACGACTGGGTACGTCGCTTGTGCACTCGATATGTTTTTATCGTTTTGGATTCATTGTATTGAGTTTCTCTTTCTTCGAAAGATTCTCGAATGATCCATTATTTATATATTTTTTATTACATAATACCTACTTACGCAATATTTAATGCCATGATTAAAATAAAAACTAGAAACTTAAATTATCATAAAGTCTTACTCCGACGGTTTTGTGTCAAAGAACGTTGACTGAGTTTATGTATTTTAATTTTCAATTATAAACGACTGATCTGATTATTAACAAAACTAATAAATAAGATGCGAGGAGCTTCTTCAGTGGGATACATCCGCTATAGCATATTCTACGGAATTAAATTATTAAAAATACTGATATTAGCAAACAGTTTTAAATCTAGCGTTCTCAGTGAAGACTCACGGAATCGAACCGGAACAGGAGCCATTTTACACTGAAAACGAGGCATTCCATCTTACTTTTTGATTCTTAATCGAGGATAGATGTAGATATCTATGTACCTCACTTCAAAATTATATAGTGAGCTAACGAGAGGTCTGTGTTTCTTTGCGTGATTATATCATACATACGTAAACTTACACCTGTAACCCAGAGGTATAGGCAGAGTCTAGGGACTTCAATGTGACACGATCTCTCTCGCTTCTTGCATGCACACATGCTCGTCAGTTAAAGGTACCCCTAATTTGCCACAATATAAAAAAATATTTTTTATTCATAAACACGGTCTTACAAGTACATATACAAATGTAGACTTCTTCTTTTGAACGCGAAATACGCCCGTATCACAAGTAAGCTCCTCTTCCTTATCATAAAATTTACTAAAGCAAGAACCGCTTATATTAAAATTATCGCTGAGCGTAAACAACATAATTAAATACAAAAATTTAAAATAAAATTGGAAAGAAAAAAATTGTGTCTAGTGAATGTGTTAGGATGTGCGTGAGCTTGTGCGCGTGCGCGAGCGCGAGCGTGTGCGTGTGCATGTATATGTGTGTTTGTGTGTGTGTGTGTGCGTGTGCGTGTGCGTGTGCGTGCACGTGCGTGTGCGTGTGCGTGCACGTGCGTGTGCGTGTGCGTGTGCGTGTGTGTGTGTGTGTGTGTGTGTGTGTGTGTGTGTAATATGTGTGTAGTGTACCTACATATGTGCGTGTAATGTGTGTTGTGTGAAAGTTTTCATACGTTTTCAAAGACACCCTTTGCCATCTCTACCACTCACTTTAGCACAGAATAAATATTAGTACCTACTACATAACTTTAGCTGCATACATTTGCTTTGTCACTTTTTCCTCATTCATTCATTTCCACATGTCTGCTTATGAAATATTATCTTCAATAAATTATAGTTTGTTTACATAATGTTAAATTGCAGTCATTTTATGGCTTAGATTACCGATTCAACCTTGACACTGTTCCAACTTGGAAGGCATGGGTGCCTTTCAAATAAACACGATACCTAATTAAATCGATCGTTACAATGAAGTGAGAAACACAATGTGATCATTAAAAATCATAATATTACAGACAGACGTTTTAATAGCGATTTAATGTGCGTGGAATCGAACCCTGGTTGATCGCGTACAGTGGAATTCACGGCGAGAATTTTTTATTTGGTATAGCCACGCTGCTAAATTATGATGCAGAACGACAAATATGATTACGATGTAAGAGATTCTACCATAATCTACCATCCCGTTTAGTCCCGTGGGTATCATAAAAGGAGATTATGGAAAATTCTAGTGGCGTGGTAGAGCCACTCTGCGGCTACACATTGCCTGCGGCACTTAAGGTCGGTTCGGCCGGTAAATGACCAAGCGATAACAGAATACCAGCGTTAAATCGCAGTTAAATGCCGCTGTGTTCCCTATGGTGAGTGTTGAGAACCGAAAACACTTTTACTAGTAATTCAGTATTCTATCCTTGTGCCCAGGTGTGCAACAAATTTTGATTCTCTTTGAGGATAGATTGAGGATAGATGTAGGCATATGGGCAACAGCTTTAATTTACAATCACTTCGTAAGTGGAGGCCTCGGTCCTCATGGACTGTGTTTTGATTTGCCAATTGAATTTAAATAAATAAATTAAAATATTTTAAGTTATGCACATTTCATATTGCAAAGAAATCAGGCACAGAACAAACGGTTTTTCTGAGACACGAGTGTGAAACACAATTTAGTTAAAAGCACATTCTTGAACAAGTTATAAGCAGTGCATTTAACAAGGACTGACAAAGTACAAAGTAAGACTTTGAACGACGAGGCAGTCACCTTATTTTCATTACCAGCAAACAAAATATAATTACCACTACTGGCACCACATTAATTGTAAATTCAGTTTTAAGTTTACCGCATCATGTTGAACGGTGAAGTGAGTAAACTTGCATACGAAAAATATGTGATATTCTACGTCCGCTAATCCGTACAGATATAGTACGGCAAACTATAATACCCACGTAGAAACAAACGGCCCTGTTAGGTGGCCCCGAGGTGCCCTGTATAGTCTATTTCACTTTCCTAATAAACAGGCTTTCTCAGTCGCCTTAACTCTAAAATTATACTCACTCCTTAAATTTTTATTATATGTACGTTAACTGACGCTTTGGTGTAGTGTGTAATATCAGTTATTGGGTTTTCTGTCAATTAATACTCAGTAACAGCCCGGAGTCAGGAAGTTGGCAGTTGGCAGTTCTCAGAAAGCACGTAAAACCAACGGTTTTACTTGTTTACTGAGACACAGAGGCGAAACTTATTGTGCCTGATTTCTTTCTTGTTGTGTTGCATTGTCTATGCATACTATCCGACTATGAGAGTGACGGAATAGAGAGTGCACCTGCACTTGCGCACACACTTATAATAAAAAACACGTAAGTACTATAATCTTGTTCTGTACAGATGGCTAGTCACCGCTGGGAGTGGTCGCCGTGACCGAAAATCTGTCTGAAAAACGATATAAAATGAAACTCACCGATCTCCTTTTCATAGCGTTGTCTAAACGGTGCCAACTCTGGATCATATTTGATCTTCTTCGGCAGCCCCAGCCACACTTGAATCGCCTCAGCGGTCAACTCCCCGCAGGACACCAAGGAGTACTGGCTGCGGCTGAGCTCAGGCGTGGACGCCCTAGACACGCCAGTCCATTTTTTAACATTCTTCACGAACTTTGACATTTGTACACTTTAGTTATAACATTGGAGCATAACTTTGATTTAAATTAAACACTTTCCAGTATCATATATTAATCTATATTAAACACACTGTAATTTAGGGTAAGCTTGTCTAAATGTTTATGGAGTTTGTCAAAGTGATTGCTAGATTTTTTTTAATTGATAATTAAGGGATGTGATTTTAAACTTAAAGCCTCACTATATTGAAATACAAAACAGATAACAAATTAATTGACTGACGATTTAAAACTTTGGTTAGCCCGCATAAAGCGACACGGGCCGCCGACGCACTGCTCTGTTAGACTGTGTTTTAAAACATAATGACTTTATAATGATTTTTTTAAGTAATTACGCGTTCACTAACATTAAATAAAACTCATTTTACGGATTTCATCGCGTTTGATATTAACATAGTTCCCAACAACTCGCACAACAATATTGTTTTAAAAATATGAAGTTCTAAACAGCTCACAGTCTACCTTCTTTTATACAATAAGGACGACAAACGAGCACACAGTTCACCCGATGGTAAGTGGTTGCTGTGCCCCATAGACATCTACACTTATCCTCGTTTACGTACATACTCACTCACCATACGAAACACAGCAGCGTTAAGCTGCTATTTTACGCTGGTATTCTGTGAGAGGGTGGTCCTTCCCCGGATGAGCCGACCCATTTGTGTTGAAACTATACTATATAAGTGGCCGTATGAGGAAGCTCAAGGTTGCTCAGCGAGCTATGGAGAGAGTTATGCTCGGGTTTTCTCTGCGTGATAAACTTAGAAATGAGGATATCCGCAGTAGAACCAAAGTAACCGACATAGCCCAACGGATTAGTAAGCTGAAGTGACAGTGGGCCGGCCATATAGCTCGAAGAACCGACAACCGATGGGGAAGAAAGGTTCTCGAGTGGCAGCCTCTTACCGGTAGGCGAAGTGTAGGGCGACGCCCCACTAGATGGAGTGACGAACTGGTAAGAAATGCAGGAAGTCAATGGATGCAGGTGGCTCAGGACCGTGCTTTGTGGTATTCCTTGGGGGAGGCTATGTTCAGCAGTGGACTTATGAAAGGCCGTAATGATGATGATGATATACTATAAATATAGCTGCAGCATGACTCTACCACATAAAAATCTACTACAGCCCATGGACACCTGCAGCCAACTTCAAACTAAGAAAGCTACCGATGTCCAAGATGTCTGTAACTATGCAGGCTCTCTGTGCCCTGCGAATGAAACACAGCTGTGCAAGCACTATTAGTTTTAAGCCAGAAATATGGACGAGAGCACTACTTACCCAGATAGACTTGTACCCAGTAAATATCACCCTGGGTAACACAAAAATAAGTTTAAAATAAACGCGGGAAAACACGAAAAATTGCTTTTATTATCATCCAATAATTCATTAATATTCAAAAAACTTGCTTGGAAAAATATTGGTATTACGATAAATAAGAATTATCTCAGCCATTTACGTTTCGCTGACGACATAGTATTATTCTCAGAATCGAGTTCGCAACTAGAGCAAATGATACAAAATCTACAGACAGAAAGCGCTCGCGTAGGACTACAAATGAACCTGCAGAAAACTAAACTGACGACCAATTCTACAAAACCAAGAATAAAGATAGGAAACGAAAAGCTTGAATATGTAGACACCTATATCTACTTTGGAAAACAAGTATCATTCCACCAGAATAATAACATAAAAGAAATAATTATAAGAATAAATATTTCATGGAAAAATACTGGGCTCACAAGGAAATAATGAAAGGAGACCTGCCGCTTTCTATGAAAAAAAAATGAGTAGTTGCATCCTTTCCTGCCTAACGTATGGTTCGCAAACTTGGACATATACAGAACAGGCGAAAGAAAAAATCAGAAAATGTCAAGCAGCTATGGAACGATCCATCCTAGGACTCCGAAGGGAAGAGATAAAGTACGTCACACCAAAATAAGAGAAAGAACAAAACAAATTGATTTCTTAAGCCACTCGATGAAATTGAAGTGGCTTCTAGTGGACATCTAGCGAGAATAAAGGACGCTTGGTGAACGTGTCGTGTCCTGGTATGGAAAGGGCCGCTAGAAAATGGATTGACGATATCAAAGATATAGCAGGAGATGATTGGCAAACAAAGGATAAAGATAGAAAACAATGGTCAAAAATGGAGGAGGCCTTTACCCTGCAAAAGAGGGGTTCTCATTAAATAACTGAAACTATTATATATTTTTTAAACTGAAACTTTTATATTTACTAATCAAATTATAAATTGAAAAATAAATTAAGCATTAAAAATTACAAATTTAAATTAATTATGAAGCTAATAATGTGATTTTTTAATTTGTTATAATTTATTTATTATTGTTGCATGTAAACATAAAATATCAATTGTAAAACTGTATGAAAAATGAGAAATATTTACTTATTTATTTATTTAATTCATTAATATTACAAAAGCTATTTTTATACAATTCTTGTTTAATAATTTCTTGACCTCTATTTTGTATGTATATTTGATGTGATTTTGTTAGGTTTTGTATTATAAAATACCGTATTATTGACAGTGGTGAGTCTTCTTTAGTTAAGTGATGTTGGTATTAGTGGTGACGGGGATAGTGCACAGCCGGTAGATGTCTTTAAACTAGGTAAGATACACCATTTTATTATATTACGTGTTTTTAGCTGATTAATTTTTAACATCACTAATTTAATGGTAAATAATTAATTAATTTAACTCTCTCAGAAATGTTGTAACTTTAACTCTAATTTAATGGATTTCCGTGAAGTAACGCCTGATTGTATTAATGAGATTTTGTTGCAAAAGCGTAAAAATTTCCTCATTACTAAATTACTGGCTTCGTAGTTTAGAGTTAAATTAGTGAATTATATATGTTTACTCTCTGGTGTCAAATTACCGGTATGTTTATCATATTATTTTTTAAAAAAAAGTTACCCCCACAATAGGATTTTTTCCTGCATCGTGGAGGCAGTTTACAAACATAAATTGCACAAGGACAAACATCCAGACTCGGAAAAATTATTTACTCGGTGCCGTGCTGCACCTATATTAGTAGTATAGTTGTAGCACGAACGGGTCGGCTCGACCGTGGTAGGACCACGCTCTCACAGAATACCAGCGTAAAATAGCAGGTTAACACTGCTGTGTTTCGTATGGCGAGTGTATAGAACCGGAGACCCATTTTACTGGAAAGGAGGCATTCCATATTAGTCCTCACGGGTAACAACGTATCTGCATTTTGATTCACAAACGAGAATTGATGTAGATGTCTATGGGCCACAGCAACCACTTACTTTCAGGTGGACAGTGTGCGCGTTTGTCACCCTATCCTATAAAAAAAATCGAACCCGCAGCCCCCAGCGCAGCAACTCATTGCTAAGCCACTGCGCCACGAAACCGTCACATTATATTATTAGCTATCAATAGAGAGTATTCTATAAATATTAGTAATCTATAAACTGGTGCTACTAACTCTTAGAGTCTCGTACTAAAGTAATAACAAATACAGAAGCTTCATTGTGTTCCTAATATTTACAGAATACATAATCAGTTTTTTTTTAAACAACATATGTTTTTGTGCACATAACATTTTCGTTAATTAATGTATCCATAAGCTAAGTTAATTTATAATTAGTTTCAGTGTAAAAAATGTCATTAATATCAAACGATGGAAATAACACTAACAGCTTCAGAAATCGGTGCTAAGACAAATTGTATAGAAGACGTATTACTTTTTTATCGGCCACATAGGGGAAATATTTTTACAGTAACAGATATTAAGGGTGTGAGATAGATATATTAAAATAAAGATAAAAATTTGCAAAAAATGTACTGTAAATTATGTATATATTGAAACGACTTAATAGCGTTGAATAAAAATGTCACAAATTTCATTTTATATTATTCCCGACGAGTTGGAGACGACTGGAGCTTAGGTGTCCTTGTGGACACACATCCAGACCCGGAACAATTATTTGTAGGCCATTCAAATACTTATTCCACGCGGTATTCGAATCCACGGCCCTCAACTGCAAGTCGTTACAAGCTACTGCACCACGGAGCCGTCATTATGCAGATAGGGTGTGAACTGACTTGACGACGACTTGTGCGCGCAGACTTGACGACTTCCAGCCTCCCGAACAAGCTGGTTTCCGAAAAGGCTTTAGCACCATAGACCACATACATACCCTTCGGCAAATTGTACAGAAGTCCGAGGAGTACAATTTGCCACTATGTCTGGCGTATGTGGACTATGAGAAAGCCTTTGATTCCGTCGAAATTTGGGCGGTGCTGCAGTCCCTTCAGCGATGCCAAGTTGACTGTCGGTATATCGAAGTGTTGAAGTGCTTGTACAGTAGGGCTACGATGGCTATCCGAGTACAGAACCAGAGTACGAAACCTATCCAATTGCAGAGAGGTGTAAGACAGGGTGACGTCATATCCCCGAAACTCTTTACCGCTGCATTGGAAGATGTTTTCAAGCTTCTGGACTGGAAAGGATACGGTATCAACATCAATGGCGAGTACATCACTCACCTTCGATTTGCCGACGATATAGTCCTTATGGCAGAATCGCTGGAGGACCTAAGCACTATGCTCAATGACCTCAATAGTGTTTCCCAACGGATAGGTCTTAAGATGAACATGGACAAAACAAAGATCATGTTTAATGTCCATGTCACACCTATGCCGGTAGTTGTTGGGAACACTAAGCTCGAAGTTGTTGACGAGTATGTTTACCTGGGACAAATAGTCCGACTAGGTAAGTCCAACTTCGACCGAGAGGTCAATCGACGGATTCAACTCGGTTGGGCAGCGTTCGGGAAATTACGGCACATCTTCTCGTCAGGTATACCTCAAAACTTGAAAACGAGACTGTACACCCAGTGCGTGTTGCCAGTGATGACATACGGAACTGAGACGTGGTCCTTCACTGCTGGCCGGATGAGGAAGCTCAAGGTCGCTCAGCGAGCTATGGAGAGGGCT